TGTCACAGCCAAAAAATACACTCTAGACACGCTGCTGGCACTAGAGGCACGGCATGGCCGCCTAGTAACGGCCCCGACCACTGCCGCTCGACATGACCGAAAAAAACCATAGCAGGAAGCTAGCGAAGTCGTAGCATATATCGCCACAAACAGAACTGCCCGGTAAACCGTAGGCAGAGAGAGAGAAAAGGACAACAAACGAGGGGATATATATGTATATATTGTCACACTGGAAATCGGAGCGCAAAGGCGGAAAAAGACGGAACAAGAAAAAGAAAAAGAAGGAAGGAAAGCCCCACCTGTTCGTCACCTCTTTCGTACAAGGCCAGCCACATGGATGACAGGTTGAGCGTTGGCTACCCCCATCCCCGTGTGTCACAAAGACCCACTTGCACGTAGCCAAAGGCAAAGAGGTAAAGAAAAGGCGGAGGAAACCAAACCTCATAGAAGAAGAAAGCCTATTAAACAAACGAAGCAAGTGACACATCCCACAGATAATTCAATTACCATCCCACAGAACATATTTTTCTTTTTTCTTTTTTCTCAGGGTTTTTTTTTTGTGTTTTTCCTTCCTTGGTTTCTTTTTTTCATTTATTTATTTTTTATCTTTCTACTCGTTTTTTTTTTATCTGTTTCTTTTACACTTCATCTGTCACCCCCTAGGCAGATAGGACAACTACGGTGAGGATGACGGGGATGTTCACAGGGATACCCAAGGAGAGTTGCGCTAGTACAGCATTCAGCCGGACGGCTAGCACGAACCATCCCATCGAAACAATCCCGACAGAGGACCAGTTGCCCACATGTCAAGAAAACAGCAGGACGTTTGTCACAGTGCGGCATCATGTAGTTCTGATAGCACAGTTCTGATAGCATCCTTGGGAACAGAAAGGACAACGTACATGTGGGTGATAGGGCTGTGCACAATGAGGAAATGTTAGACACCCTTCCGCACATACGGCGGCAGTCGCAATGGATTGATAATGGTGCTGACACAGATAATGCATTCCACAACYAAGAMGCACCACGTCTCTATCCCGACAAATGTCGCACRAGAGACGYTCAACAATCCAGAACAGTGTATGATTCGACAAACCTCGCAAGAATTCATTTATGTTGACAATAACCTAAATCACTGTCCCACCATCCCACAGTTCCCACTGGGCAGCTGCACGAATGAGTGCCATATAGTGCCCGGGTTTGTGCAAAATGCATGCAGAAAATATGAAGACGGGCATTAAGGTCCTCGCCTGGCGTCCCATAATGCATGAGGTGGCGACTGTGAAATGCTAACTATAAGACATTTATAGTAAAGCCTCCTGAGGTAGTATAATTACTATCCTCAGGAGGAAGACCATTGTGGTCATACAACAACTCATTTTCAACAGCGTCAAGCTGATAAGCAATTGTAACAAATTGAGATACAGTATAACCTTGACGCTGATAAGCTTGCAGACAAACATTTGTGGCTGTCAGGCCACAAATGTTTGGTAGATCTGCTCGCAAATCCGAATCGGTCACCACTGGAAGGCCCGGTCTGATTTGGCGCGGTCGGCGTTTAATTGACGAACGTCGTCGACGTACCAAAGCAGGTTGTCGGTCAGACAACGAACCAGGCAGTTTAGGATCAATACGACGCCGAGAGGAAGGGGGACTAGGAGATGGGGAGAATGAATGAGCCTGCCGCCGTCCTAATATAGACAATGAAGATAAGGGAAGGGCTGATCTCAATCGACAGTGTTGATAAGACGAAGAAGAAGAAGAAGAAGAAGAAGAAGAAGAAGAAGAGGAAGAAGAAGAAGAAGAAGAAGAAGAAGAGGAGGAGGAGGAGGAGGAGGAAGAAAAAGAAGAAGAAGAAAAAGAAGAAGGAGAGGGAGGGGAAGAAGAGGAGGGAGAGGGAGAGGAAGGGAGAGGGAGAGGGAGAAGGGGAGGAGGAGTGGGAGGGGGAGGGGGAGGGCGAGGGCGAGGGCGAGGGGAAGAAGGAGGAGGAGGAGGGGAAATCCCACCGGTTAAAAGGGCCTTTACCCGTTCAGACCCTGAATGACGAACGCAGCATAATGGGGCCCACTCGGCCAGAACTCAATTCGTGAAAAGCAGATCAAAAGACATGTTCTCTGGGTCAAAAGTCACATCCTAACTGAAGTGAGGAGTTGTGTCAAAGGTCACAGTCGTGCCCCAGGACGAACAGTTGCAGCATTCAATTGTGAGAGTCACGTTTGTTCGTCCAGAGGGCTGTGCAAGTCATGTCTGTTCGCGCAGTAGATGTGTCTGTTCGTGCAGAAATTGTCTGTTCGAATGAAAGTCAATGGGGAAGAGTCCCAGTCCAAGTCAAAGTCCAATAGGCAATCCAGATTCAAAGTCCAAAATTCAGGCCTAAAGGCCGCAGCAGCAGCAGACCCTGAGGGAAAGGTGCTGGGACACATTCTGCAGTAGTCTGGGACTGGGGAAAGACCCAAGAAAGACTGATTCAGACCTTGTGAAGGGAGGCCAGCACTATAAGAGACCAGGCCAGCCTCCCCACACGACAGATCTCCACTGGCATCGATGCGTAGCACTTGTGCGCTAGCATGCAGGGAGAATGCGCTGGATGGAAGCCGCGCAAGCAGGAGAAGGAGAAGTTGGGCGCTGATCGGCAGAAGCAGCCATAGCTGCACCAGCACTATTACTAGAAGTAGAGGGGTTAGTAGTAGATATCAGTGAGTAGCATTCACAGTAGATCCTCATAAGTAGGGAGTGAGCATGCAGAGTGAGATAAGGGAACCAAGACAGGGATCTCGTGAGGGAGAGAGAGAGTAGACAGGTTAAGGAGTTGGATATGGTGGATACTTACCTGTTGGCGCCATACCTGTGATCTGAGGGCAGACGCTGGCTGAGCCAGGCCCTATATTGAGAATGGAACGAAAGAGACTTGCACTTTGTTGGTGCTGAACTCTTGGACTCGAGATACTCTTTGTATGATGTTGTTGTGATAATATGAGCTGCGCTATCCGGTTCTCATCTCATCTCGATTTGGATTCATGTGAACTTTCTCTGTCTCTATGATGACATCTATGCATGCAACGAGATACACTCCAGCAAGCTATGAACAGTCAGGTTCCTTGCAATTTCGGGTAGACGACTTTTTTTTCTCTTAATGCTTCTCAAAGTCCTTCTTGACAATTTTTTTCTGCAGTCGCTCAACATGACACTTTGCCAGTTAAATACAGCAAATTCAACGGCCGTCGAACGGCGGATCCTAACGGAAACCGTTAGCCTACATACGTCTCTTTCTCTTCATAAAAAAATGGAGACGACAACACTGGAATTGTCTGCTAATTCATTAAACAAAAAAAACATAAACAAAAAAAGAACGGGGCTGCAGAAATAGTAGAAATACCGAACCACGACACTCGGTTCTTCGGGCCCGCTGTGGGCCGATAAGAGAGCGTCTGTAGGGACGCGACGAGGTCCTCGGAGCCGTTTTAGTCTCAGAAGTACTACAGGATAGCCCGTGTACACAACAGGAAATTAGCGGTTGGTACAGTCTATATAGGTTAATTATGGCAGGCATTGCATTGGAGCTCTACTTCAACCAAAAGCTACAAGTTTTTCAAAGAGTCGTTCCAAATTTCAAATACAACTACTGCAATGATTGA